AAAAAAAAAAAAGGAGGAGGATTGGCATCAGATCTTAGCTCAGGGCTGGTCTTCCTCACCAAAAAAAAAAAAAAAAAGGAAAGAAAGAAGTTTCATAATGATCAAGGATTCGACTAAAAAAAAAAAAAACTAAACATGTATGAACCACCAAATAACAGAGCTTCAAAATACGTGAAGCAAAAACTGACAGAACAGAAAGGAGAAATAGACAAATCCCTAACTAGAGTTGGAGATTTCACACTCTTCTCTGGGTAATTTACAGAACAAGTAAACAGAGTATCAGTAAGGATCTAGAAGACCTGAACAGCATTATTAACCCAGCAATCTAACTGACATTGATAGAACACTCCACCCAACCATAGTACAATACTCATTCTTTTCAAGTGCATGTGGACCATCCATCAAAACAGACCATAGGCCCTAACACAAGTCTTAATCAATTTCAGAGGATTTCAATTATAGCACGTTCTCTGATCACAGTAGAACTAAATTAGAAATTGAAATCAGAAAGTTACCTGGAAAATCCCAAATTATTGTGCAGCTGAAAAACATACTTCTACACTATGGGGGTCAAAGAAAAGTCACGAAGGAAATTTTAAATATTTTGAATGGAATAAAAATACAAGATTTCAAAATTTGTGGGATGCAGCTAAAACAATAATCAGAAGAAAATTTATAGCTTTTGTGTGTGTGTGTGTGTGTGAGGAAGATTGGCCATAAGCTAACATCTGTGCCCATCTTCTTCTATTTTGTATATGGGATGCCGCCAGAGCTTGGCTTGATGAGCGGTGCATAGGTCCGTGCCCAGGATCTGAACCTGCAAACCCTGGGCCGCCAAAGCACAGAGCACAAACTTAACCACTAAGCCACCAGGCCAGCGCCCATATAGCTTTAAATACTTGTATTAAAAAAGAAGGGGGGGGCCGGCCCCGTGGCTTAGCGGTTAAGTGCACGCGCTCCGCTGCTGGCAGCCCGGGTTCGGATCCCGGGCGCGCACCGACCACCGCTTGTCGGGCCATGCTGAGGCTGCATCCCACATACAGCAACTAGAAGGATGTGCAACTACGATGTACAACTATCCACTGGGGCTTTGGGGAAAAAAATAAATAAATAAAATTATAAAAAAGAAGGGGGGGGCCAGCCCTGTGGCTTAGCGGTTAAGTGCTCACGCTCCGCTGCTGGCGGCCCGGGTTCGGATCCCGGGCACGCACTGACGCACTGCTTCTCCAGCCATGCTGAGGCCGCGTCCCACATACAGCAACTAGATGGATGTGCAGCTATGACATACAACTATCTACTGGGGCTTTGGGCGGGGGGGGGAATAAATAAATAAAATCTTTAAAAAAAAAATAAAGAAGGGGGGCATGAAAATCAATGATCTAAGCTACTTCCACCCTAAAGAGCTAGAAAAAGAAAAGCAAAGTAAACCCAAGTTTAGTAGTAGGAAAGAATAAAGATACGAGTGGAAAACAAGTGAAACAGAAAACAACAACAGAGAAAAAACAAAAATTAATGAACCCAAAGGCTACTTCTCTGGAAAGATCAAGACAAAATCAGGGAAGACACAGATGACCAATGTCAGGTCTGAAAGAGTGGTCATCAGCACAGATCCCACAACAGCAGGAGGATAATAGTGTAATGTTATGAACAACTTCACATCAATAAATCTGACAACTTACACGAAGCAACAAATTCCCTGAAAGATATAAATTACCAAAACCGACTCAAGAAGAAATAGAAAGGTTGAATAGTTCCGTAAGTAAAGAAACTGAATACAGCATCAAACTGTATACTTAAAATGAGAACATTTTATTGTATGTAAACTATTCCTTAATAAAGTTAATTTAAAAGGTTAAAAAAACCCAGTGAGACTAAGTTATAGTGTCCAGCAATGCACACAAGGCAGACAAAACTATGCAGAAAGAATAGAAATAAACACTACCTGAGTCTGGACCGTGTTCCTTTGGGGCAGAGGGAGGAGGTGATGATGTTGACGGCGCACGAGAAAGGGCTTCTGGCAGCAGTCAGTCACGGACTAGGCAATGGTTACAAGGACGTGCCTCTCACTGTAACTCATTAAACTACAAGTTTTGTACAGAGTTCTGCATCTGTGTATTGCTTTCCAATACCAAGGTGGTATTTGTGTTTTTTTAAAAGATAAAAGTTTAAACATCAGGTTTAAGAACCAAAACTTTTCCCTTTTATTTGTCAAAAACTAATTTTATTTTGTTTTTTTTTTTGTTTTTTTTTTTTTTTGGTGAAGAAGACCAGCCCTGAGCTAACATCTGCCACCAATTTCCCTCTTTTTGCTGAGGAAGACTGGCCCTGGGCTAACATCCGTGCCCATCTTCCTCTATTTTGTGTATCGGATGCCGCCACAGCATGGCTTGATGAGCTGTGTGCAGGTCCACACCCGAATCCGAACCTGCGACCTCTGGGCCGCTCAAGTGGAGCAGGCAAACTTAACCGCTGCACCACCAGCCGGCCATAACTATCACCACACCACTGAGCTCTCCCCATAACTGTCAGAATCATCTCCACAGAAGCCACTGTTTACCATTTTCTCCGTAGTCTAAATATCACTTCTATGAAGCAAGACTACAGTATCTCAGAGGATGGGGGAGCAGGTGGGAGAATGCTTTAAATGAAACATCTAGAAGCTCAGGTTAAATGACATGTATATGTAATAAATGTAGTCATAATTTAATAATGAACATACCAAAATGAATATAAAATGATAGACAGATATATATTCAGCTACTAAAGAGTGCCTTAGCTTCAAGTGTCAATCAACATTATCGTGTCCCTCGAGAGGCAGGACACACAACAGCTAAGAGAATGGGTTCTGGAGTCAGACCGAGCGGTGCAAACCCAGCTCTCCACACACTAGCTATAAACCTCGGGCAGGTTACTGCCCCTGGGAACCACCAACCATAACGGTGCTCACCTCAGGCTGCTGTGGGGACCGAGGACCTGACCCACGTAAAGCACAAAGAACTACAAGGACACCCGGCACGTGATAAGCACTTCCTCAGGGTTAGTTGTCATCGGGGCGTCTAGATCCTAAATAAACACTAATGGTGTTCTTTGGGGAAAAAGAAAAGAGGCTCTCACCCTCCTTTATGCTTCTTTTTCTTTGGAGTGTCTTCCTCTGAGGTTCTCCTGCCGCGACCCCGGGAGCCTCTTTTCTCTTTTTGACCTCGACCTTCTGAAAAACAATAAAGACCCCAGTTATTTTCCCAGAATTCACTAAAGCAGGACAAGGTTTACCCCAATGTGATATTTACCATAATGTTCCTGATACACTTATCAAACAAAATTCTTCAAAACTCCATAGTTAACAGTAACAAAATAAAGAAAAATTAACAAACTTGCTTTTTAACCCACGTCCTCCAGAGCTTTCAAAGTCGCTGCCCTCCATCTTGTCCTTCAGATCCGCTTCAAAGCGTGCGAGGTCTGCATCAAGCCTTCGAATGTGTTTATCCACCTGAAAGGAAGGATGCTCACAGGTCTCATTTAAAAATGAAAGCACACCACCTCAGGAATCACAAATGCACCAGCAGTCAACCAGGAAGCACTTTCTTGCCCTTTAATTGAGTCTTCAATCAATAAAGCTCTGCTAAAACAGGGCCCACTATTTCAAAGTTTATACAAGGATCTTTTTTCTCCTACATATTTTGACACCTCAACAGAATAAATCCTACACAGGAAAAACCAGGAAGGCAGGCAATAGTGAAAAAGAGTCGTAAAATGCAACAGAATAAGAGGTGAGGGTATTCGATACCAAATCCTAATTTAAAAATCTGAAGAATATATAGGTTTTCAAACAGAATAACCGAAAAAATAAAAATAAAACAGAAAATAACTCTAACGCTTCAGGTGTAAGAAAGAGAAGGCAGAACAGTCAAGGCAACCGGAGGAGGTAATGCCGTACTGCCCCGACAAAGGAGGCGCTCCTATGGAGAAACCACACGGACTTCACAAGGAACTAACACAACACATCCCTCTATCCAGCTGCCTCGTGACAATCGACCAACACCGTCCGTCACAGTCCACAAGGGAGGAGCAGTACCCTTCTGTGTCTGGAAACGGACTACAATCTTAAACTTCCTTATGCATCAGAGAGAAACTCTAACTGCTAATGACAACTGACCAAACCTAACCATTTAGAAAACAGGCTGCTTACCCTGAAGGCACAGCACTTTGGGGCATCAAAACCCCAAATATGAGCATTAAGTTCTCCTTCTAGAGTATTTTTCGAATACAACGTTCAGGTTTTTAATAAATTATTGTTTGTTTTACTGGGGGAGGCGGGGGAGGGAGTTAGCCGGTGACGGCCTACAAAGACAGCAGTGCTTCACTGCACGACCTCATGGGAGCTGCAGGACAATGGCTTTGTGCCATCGCGGGAGACCCCAGTGAAGCTTACTTGAGAGGAAACTGCACAGGACAAAATTCTAGCACTTTACATAAAGCTGACAAAAACAAGCATTAAAAAATATACACAAAAACGAACGGTTTCCCCAACCACACAAACAAGCAGAAAGGGCTCCAGGTGAAGGACACTCCTGACTCGCACTCTCTCTAGAAGCGCCACCCTATCAAAGCCCGCCCTTCATCTCGGATGCACCATTTCTGAGCAGCTTTTCCGTTAAGTGAAAGGGAGAAGCGAGTGTCCTCTGGGAGTGGCCTGAGGCCCAGCCTCCCCCACAACCCCCCAACCCCCATCCCAGGCCTTCCTCACGCCCACCTCCACCTCCTCACCATCTCATAGGTCTGCATGGCCAGCTGCACCTTGTCATCGCTGTACTCCTTGCACTTGCTATAGGCGCTCTGGATCTTCTGCAGGTGCTCCACACGCTGGTCTGGAGAAAGAGTCTTCACCGTGGAGATATACTCAGCAGCCAGGATGTCGATCTCTGCTTTCTTATCTGATAGAGAAGTGGTTGAAAAGCTAGTCCTTGCATGAGATTGCACTACATGCTCATCAGACTCGCAACAAATAAAGCCTGACAATACCAAGTTCTAGCAAAGAAGTGCCTGACACAAACTCTGAAGCACTGCTGTGGAAGCAGAGCAGGCACAGCCTTCCGCAGACTTGGAGGTGTGCATCCATGGAGGTGTGCATCCATGGAGGTGTGCATCGTGGAGGTGTGCATCCATGGAGGTGTGCATCGTGGACGTGTGCATTCATGGAGGTGTGCATTGTGGAAGTGTGCATCGTGGAGGTGTGCATCACAGACGTG